GCGCACTCATCCAGTGCGCCACCGGGCCGGCCCTTTAGCCCAGATTTTTGTGAAACTTTTTTACATTCAAATTTCTCTTCCCTGGGCTATTTTCACTAGCACTTTCCTTCCATAAACTAAAAACAGAAACTGTAGCTTCTTGCCCTCCAGATGACCTACCTTTCTCTCTGATGATGTCAATAAGAATATCAATCACAATGAATGTCCCTGTCCGGCCAATTCCAGCACTGTGGGCAGGAGGACAAAAATGAAGACAACAGAGTCATTCATGGGGGTCACAGACTCAAAACCAAGTTATTAATACTAGCAGAAACAATGTCTGCTCTTGGCAGCATGTATAAGAGTGTCTATTTGTATCTGAAAATATATTAGCAGAGAGCATAGGGCTTTGGAGTCAACCCAACCTGCATTTGGAGTCCAGCTTCTCCTGTACAATGTGTCTAAGGCAAGTCCCTTAACCTCTCTGACCCTCAGTTTCCTAACCTGTGAAATGGGGATAACAGCACATACCTTACAGGGTTGTTGTGAAGATCAAATGTGAATAATTTATGAAAAACACTCATATATTATTACTCAGAGGCTGGCACAGAGCAAGTGCTCAATAAATGGCAGCTTTTTAAAATATTAAACAAAATTTCATGTATATCTACTTGCCTAACACATGAGTGAGATTTAGGAAACCAAACTTTCCCCAGTATAATCATGAGGCCCAAACTTGGGCACCAGCACCCTGCAAGATCTGGTGCAGAGGCTACAGCACGGCTTCCATCAAAGGCCTGGGTAGGAAACAGCCTGAATCTTTTGGAGCAAATAGGTGAGGTGTCAGGGGAAAAAAAATATCTTATTTCCATAGTAGAGGAGAATGAAATCTCAAAGAGATGAATCCTAAATTACTACATTAAAAAAGAAAAACAGGGCTGGCTGGTTAGCTCACTTGGTTAGAGTGTGGTACTAATAACACCCAAGGTCAAGAGTTCACGTCCACTTACAATCCAGCCCCCCTCAAAAAAGAAAGAAAACCAAACAAAAATTACTAGGCTAAGGGATCCTTGACAGTAAGGACTTTGTCCACCCCACTCCCCCACATCCCCAATACCTGGCAGTCCCTAGAGTCTATGAGAAATATACTTTGGGGTCAAAATGTCCCTTAAAACAGTTTATCCATGCCTCAAATAGAGATTAAATGCTTCCTACAGTTAAAGTGCTGGGTGTGAATAGGCAAAAGTGAGCCCTGGGTATTAGGAGACCGGGAGGGGCTGACACCTGCAGTGGACCACAACCGGCCCTGCGTCCATGATGCTCTCCTGCTTATGGTGGACCTCCTCCAGGAAGTCCAGCACACCCCCAGGGTCACTGGGCACTCCGTGGTCTGGCCAGGTCCGAAAGTGGTATTGCCAGACCGTTCTCTCCGTATTCCCCTGGAGTAGAGCCAAGAAAAACCAGAAAAGAATTAAATAAATCAAGGGGTTGAGGAGTCACCCAGTTCTGAGCTTTCCTAGATTCCACATGAGACAATGGAGCTGGCAGGCACAGAATGTCCACACACACTATTTCAAGGTCCTCCTTGTGCGTTTCCAGAGCTCTTCTCCTTTTGGATCTGGCTGGGAAATCCTTACAACCTGAATCCTCTCTCTGAACCATCAATGGCAGGCAATGTCTCCCACTCCTCCTCATCCATGTGGCGCCCAACTCCAGAGGCAACTGAGGCCTCCGGGACTCAGGTCTCTTCCCCCAGCAGATGAAGAAACAGGTATTACCTCAAGACATCTGTCATCTTTTTATACCCAACCCTCCCCATCACATACATACCTACACTTTTATTATAGTATCATTATGTTTTAAACTTTTGTTCAGTGCCAAGTAGGTAAGAAAATGGGCTTTGCAATCAGACAACTAGATTTAGGCTCAAATCCCCAGGCATTCACAGTCACCGTGGTCCTGGGCCATCTGTAAGCCTCAATTTCTTCATTTGCAAAATGGGGAGAATAATCTCTCTCTCACACTATCATTTTAAGGCTTAAATGAGCTCACTGAAACACACAGCCACTGTCCAGCAAACAGTAAGAGACTCAGCACATTGTAGCTATTTTGAGGATAACGATAATTAACAAAGATCAACAATGGCACCAAGACTACAGAAAACCATGTTTCTGGGTCTATTGAGATTAGGTAATTGTAGGTTGCTATGCATTGCTAGTATCTTCCTCCTATATATTTGGAGGCAATCCAAGGTAAGTGACTTTTTTAAAGTTTATTTTGCTTTTAATTGACACATAATAATTGTACATATTTACCGGGTACAGTGTGATGTTTCAATACATATTCACATTGTGCAATGATCAAATCAGGGTGATTAGCACATCCATCACTTCCAACACTTGTCATTTCTTTGTGCTGAGAACATTCAAAATCCTCTCTTCTTAAGTGACATTTTTAAAAGGGATTTAAACAGATATTTTAAAAAGAGAGAGAGACCAGTGTCCACCACTAGTGAACTTTATTACATCCAAGGAATCTGAGTCACAATTAAGATCTTTCCTTGAATTACGTGTATTTAATTTGCTAATGTCACGAAAAAAAATTGCCTTGTGTTACTGGGTGACGTAAAAATCAGGAGTCTACACGGGTAACAGAAAGGACAGTCAGGTACCAAGAGACTGGCCCCAGCCTTGCTGCCTCTCTTCCTTGGTCAAGGAGGTTTCTGCCCCAACTCCTCCTTCCCAGGCAGTTAGGAGGCTTAAATGAGACCTTGTGACAGCACTTTAGAAAAAATATAACATGCTATTCAGAAAGCAGATAATATGCTACCAGCAATTCAGAAAGAATAATCAGTCCCATGCAGCACCCATGTCAGGGTACAAAACACAAACCAATACACCAATGTTTCCCCTACCTGCTATTTAAAAGTATATGGTAAGAAGATGGATAGTTTACCACTAAAATTGAAGAAAAATCTACTTGCTACTCAGAAACACCTGATAATAAAAAGACGGGTAGTTTATCATTAAAACTGAGGAAAAGCCTATGTGGAATCTGTCCAGTGTCCCCTAAATCTCTCTCTCATTTCTACTTGACAGATACATTTTTACAGCTCCTCTTAGTCTCTGTGCTAGATTGAACCTACACCCCCCACACCCCATCGTCAGCAGAACTGCACTCTCTCTGACATCAGAAATCCAAACATCCCACCTAGACCATGACCACACAGGCTTCCGGCTCACTTCAGTCTCTGACCACCTGATGAGCTCCCAGACCCCTGAGCACTTCCTCCATTTCCCATCTACCTTGCTCCCTTCGTCCCCAGCTAGGATTCCAGTACCACGGTGACAACTGCTGTCCACCATGTGCCTTCATTGCTCGACCTTCTCTCCATCCTGTGCACTCAACAGGCAAAGCCCCAAGCCTGGACAAACCACCCACTTTCTCTGTTTTACACCCAAGGAGCAGAGTGTCCCTGGAGAAAAATCAGATGATTGGTGTCACTAGATATTCATGGTCACCACCTCAACCGGGCACTCAGCACTGTCCAGAAATCTCTAGATTTCTTGCCCTCACTGCACAATCACTGTTTCATACTTCTCCCTCTTTCTTCAAATATTCCATCTCTTCTTATTCCCTTTGACTGTCAATTGATGGCCTTGCCTCATGTCTCAAAGAGAAGACAGAGAAATCCCTAGCAGCTCACCCACCGGCGCCCGTGGCCACATACTCCTCTTGCCCTCCTGTTGGCACAGAAGAAATGCCCCTCCATCAATCAAAACTGAGCCACTCACAATGCTCTGGGTCCCATCTACCTTCCTTGGCCAATCTCCACCCCTTCCTCCCAGACATCTCCACTCCAATGTCTCAAAGGCATCTCAAACTTTACGTGTCCACAAGGAGGTTCTTGATCCTCCCTCCGTCCTCAAACCACTGCCATCCGCTCCACTCCTCAGGTGACAAAACTGGTGGTCATGCTCAACGCTGCCCTCGCCCTTTGGTTTCATGTGTCATCAGAACCTTCATGCCACCTCCACAATGATCCTGTCAATCCTCTCTTTCCAGTGCTCCTGCCACCACCCTAGTTTGAACCTACCGCCTCTTACCCAGTGATGTGCAGGACTCATAATTGGTCCTAATCCCTGGACCCACTGAATGTGACAGTCCTATCTCTTCCACTCTCTATAGCACAGAGGAAGCAGAAGGAAGCCCGTGTCTGCTTTGGAGCATAATGATTTGAATATATGGCTTCTTGCTGCTACATAATTGTAATACATGATTTTGAAACAAAGGCGATTTCCTTCATTTTTGTGTCCCCAAAAGACCCTGAATAAGTAAACCTCTCTAAACATGGAATTAAATTGAATCCAAATCTAATCCTGTTGGATTTTGTAAAGTTAATCACTCCAAGATCAATCCTGAACTACATGCAATTAAGAAGATCTGATGCATGGAATTTGATCACAAATACAACTCAGGGCCTTTGCACCTGCTGTTCGCTCTGGGTGAACACTCCTCTCCTGGTTCTCTGGATGCCTGGCTCCTCCGCCATCAGATCTCAGCTCCAGTGTGATCCTCTCAGAGAGGCCCTCCCTGTTTACTCCATCTCAAGTATCCAGTTACTCTCAAATATACCACCCTGCCGCCTTTACTGAACAAGCACAATCAGAAAGCTTAGTTGGTTATTTACTTTTAAATCTTCAGTCTCTCTAGGCTTTGTAGGGGCAGGGAATGTACCTAACTTATTCACAATATACCAGTAGGACCTGAACTGTACCTGGCACATGAAAGGCACCCAAAAAGTGGCTAACAAATCAATGTGGGAACAAATGCATGAACACATGTAAACATGAGTAACTGCAAGACTCTAGATTGCTGTATACCATAAACAGTTACCAAAGTCTCTAAAATACGACAATATACTTACTTGTCCAACCTTTGAAAGTTTAAGTTCTCTTAACGTATAGTCATGAGCAGCACTTTCTTTGACGTTCCTAACACGCATGACCCCGTATTCTTTTAGAGCATACTCATCAGGCCAGTATTTGACACATTTGCTCTGGAAGGGATCAGAGAAAAGACAGTTAATCTCTGTGAATTCTGAAATAAAAGCCTAAACAAACAGCAAACAAATGTTCAAGTCTTGCTCAACGACCACTAATATGGAAAATGGCCTGTCTAGCAACTGTAAGGTTTTCAAAGAAAGGAAAGAAGAGTTGAAATCAGGAAAGCAAGTACACAAAAACCAGGCAGAAATGGGACAAGAAAAGCAGTTCTTGCAGAGTTGTCTGACCCAAGCCACATGTCAAAGGAGACTCGATGTTTGTTTATCTCTAAAGAACCAAAGACGCGAAGAGACAGGGACCAACCAATTCAAGAGTACTGCCTAGCAACCACTGAGTTTTGAATTCTAGAGAGCTGCTAGTCACTCTGTAGAGAAGGCAGGCAAGGACTCTGGAGGTGGACGGGCTGCCCAACAAGCCAGACTGTCTGGTTCATTTCCGCACCAGTGTGGGAGGACTCTCTGCCTTATCGAACCCAAGTGTGAACAACTCTATCACAGAAAGGCAGCCTAATGGGGCTTTGAACCAGCTGCTTTTTCTATATCCAGATCCATCTGATACCTACTATACATGTTTCTTTCCCTTAACTGGGTGCCTGAGAATGCCAAGTCTATGATAGCTGCTGACTTTAAGATCAGACGGATTGAAAAATACGGCACCAAGAAAATCATTTTTGCTGTCAAAAAGGAAGCTATTTCGCTCAATGAGAGATGAGTCTGTATCTATTTAGTAATGCGTCCTGGGCAGAAAATGCTTTCATGTTTTGGTTTTTTCTGGGAGCGGTCATGCACACCGCTCACTTTCTAAAACCACTAAGACACAAATATCAGCAAGAGAAATTAACCTTGCATATTAGGCAGACAGAGAAATTTTTACAGTTATAAAACTAAAAATAAGAGAATAGCTGCAGACATCATGTTTTGGTTTTTTCTGGGAGCGGTCATGCACACCGCTCACTTTCTAAAACCACTAAGACACAAATATCAGCAAGAGAAATTAACCTTGCATACTAGGCAGACAGAGAAATTTTTACAGTTATAAAACTAAAAATAAGAGAATAGCTGCAGACATCACCACAGTCAGTCATTAGTTGAAGGAAAGAAAAACATGATAGGAGGAAAGTTCAATAGAAGGATGTGGTCTTTCATTTATTATTAGAATTCAGCTTTCCGTCCAGTATTTTGTAGATCCAAAAACCTTTTTGACAGATTTAATACAATTTTTATTTTCCCCAAATAAACACTTCAGATATTAATTGTACTCAATTGCCGTTACTGGCCAGTAAATTTTGAGGACTGCTTCAGTCACTATAGAGAACTCAAAATTAAATCATGACCCTGAAAAGAAAATTTTAGCTGACTTTAAACTTCTGCAAACTGCTGCAGCCTGGCCCCAAATGTTCCAAACTCTCATGCAAACCTCGGCAAATAAAGTCTGAAATGTGAGAGCTAATATGTTTTCTTTTAAATTAAAGCCCAGAAATCAAACGAGTCTGGTTTGTTTTCTGTGCACTGCGGGGATGCCAAGATGTCAGAAAGGCCTGTGGAGAGAATAAAAGGCTATCATGTCATCCTCTCTGCGCCCACAAAGTGAAAAGGAAGGATGGAAAACAAGCAGAGACTGAGACAAGCTGGTGAGGAGTGGGGCAGAGCAATCCGGTCCAATGTCTGTCCACTCTAGGAGCTTCTGGCAGCTCTTCTGAAAGGGACTGACACATTTCTCTGAAGCAACACAAGACCCCCCTCTTCCCGGCCCCCAAGTCCTCTGAGAACTGGCGGCCGTCTACAACCACAATAAGGCAATAAGGAGGACAGAGGGCTTCATTTTTCCTTTCCACATTAGGGGCAGGTAACACTCGCCTGAAGCAGAAACTGTGGAGACATTTCAACTGGTGCTTTAATTCAAGAACACCTAATGTTACTGCAGGCAGTTACTGGAGGAGGCCTTGTTTCACAATGACAATAAATGGCCTCCAAGGTATTCAGAAATGGATCAACTAGGAGTAAAACAATGAACATCTTATAAAATCACAGTGCCCTTCACAACCAATATGAAAATTTACATTAAGAGGGCTAATGTCCAAAGTCCCCCATCTGCTTTAGGTTAAATTTATAGGGATGACTGCTACATTCCACACCATTCTCATACAAATCAATTAAAGGATATCTAAAAATGAGCTTTGACTATAACACAAACACAGAACTTTTCCATATTAAAAAACCCACTTCCAGGTAACAAACAGCACTGTTACTCAACGAGATTTGCCTGCTTTTCTGTAGGTGTGGGGTATTACAATTTTAAAAAACCTCAAGTGTTCTGAAGGATGTAGGGAGATGGGTACTAGGTATATGCCACTGGTGGGAGTGTAAATTAGGACAACCATTCTAGAAGGCAGTCAGGCAGAGTTTATTAAAATGGGCAACATGCTCACCCTATGACCTAGCAATTCTTCGCCTTGATATCCAACCTAAAGAAACACTTACCACATGCACATAAGGCAAGCACAAGATTGCTCACTCCAACACTGTTTGTAACAGCAAAAACTGGGATACATAAATGCCCGTTTATGACATAATGGTTACATGGTACATCCACAGCATAGAATATCATGCAATTGCTAAAAAGAATGAGATAGGCCAATATGGACTAACAGAAGAAGTTAGAACATATATTTAGTGGGAAAAAAACAATCAAGATGCAGAGTAAAATTACTGTATGAAAGCACTTTTTCAGTCAGAAAGTAGTACTATATACTTCTATAGGTACATATACTTATGTAAATGCCAAGAAAACAGTATAAGAATAATACACATCAAACTGAGAACAGAGTTTTCACATTGGGGGAGGACTAAAATGGGTGCAGAAGAAAAGATTCACTTAAAGACATGGCCCAAAAAAATAAAAACTATCCAAAATGAACCACAGAGGGAAAAAAGTGAACTGAATGAAATAAACAAAGAGCATCAGTGGGCTGTGGGACAATATCTAGCAGCCTAATGCACATGTAATTGGTGTCCTGGGACAGGGTGGGGCAGGGTACATATTTGAAGAAATAAAAGCTGAACATTATCCAAATTTGAACAAAACCACAAATCCACAGATCACAGACACTCAATGAATCCCAAGCAGAAGAAACATAAAGAAAACTACACCAAGGCACATGGTAATCTAACCTCTCCTACGCCTTTTTTTCCAGAGGGTCAGTTAGAGGAAGCTTAATACGATAATTCAGTTCCTAACTTGGCCAACCTGACATGTCTGATACTTTAAAAATAGGTTATCGGAAAAGAAGATTATGTAGTATACCTTTCCTCTCTCCACTTCTTTTGTCGTCATGACAATCACTCGGGAGTTCTCTTGGAACACCATCCGCCAAAAGTCATTCACTGTGTTTTGCAGGCAGCCTTGTGTGGCAATATAACTCTTTTTGGGCTTTGAATTGTTGCACTTGGTTTCAAATTCAGGCTAGAAATTTAGGAAGAAAGTCCTTCAAATGTTTGAAAGTTGCTTTCAGGACACAAGGAAGGATTTAAAATACAAAAATAGTCTAGCGATGTATGGTCAGAAAACACTGTCAAAAGCAAAGTTTACCATGATAATATTTGCATTGATGTAATCTGAAACAGGCTCATTGGGATCACCGTCGTGTAGGACAACCCTGGTATGATCAACTGGAAAAAAAAGAGATAATAGTCCCATAAGTACTCAGACCACTTTAGGACAAATCCATTCAAATCAGTTAATCCTCAATCTAGTTCAAGTTTTGTTCATTTATGATAAAACCACATAAAAAATTAAACCCTAAATAAGCACAACAGTAATCTGAACACAATTTGATGCCTCATAACACTTTCTTCACAATTCCCTGGTTTTGATAATGTACTATGAGTAGAGAGGATGCTAACATGGGGGAAGCTTGGAGAAGGGTACATGGGAACCCTCTATACTATTTTTGTAACTACTTATAAGTTCAAAATTATTTCAAATCAAAAAGTTGTGTTTTGTTTTGTTTTCTAAAAAGAAGATTAAAGTACAGATACATGAAATGATGTCTGAGATTTGATTCAAAATAATTTGGGGAGAAAAAGTGGATCAGAGTACAGATGAAACAAGACTGGGCCTGAGCTGATAACTGTTGAAGCTGGGTGATGGGTATGTGCAGGTTCTGTCTGCTCCTGAATAGATTTGAAAATTTCCATAATAAAAAGTTCTATTTTAAATGAAGCAGAATGAAGTACAATATCTAGAAGACAAGATTCTGACCAAATCCTGAACAAAAGTACATTATTGGCATATAAATCTCAGTGTTCTATCTAAGCAACATATTTCACAATGGGAATTAGTAATATAGTTGTATGTCTCAACAGAATAATGTTCTTTTGCCTCAGACTCCCTATCTTTAAAGAAATAAGATGTTAATTAGAGGAAACATCTGACTGGGACCTTTAAGGGAGGAAAAGGTGATATCCTTTTTAGATATTGTATACTACCATCCCCTTCATCTTCCCTACATCCTATGGTTCTAATAAGCACGTTAGACCCGTGAGCAGAAGGGGGAACAGACATGAAAAGGATAAGGCTTCCCAAGGTCATTCGGATCATGCTTCAGCCCAAACTACTGCTCTGCAAATTCCTCATTGCCTTTTCTCACCCTCTCCTACACACATTAGAAATATCCATATGGGTGTGATATACATATACACCATGTATACGTACATATGCACACAGAAAGAGAAAGACTGTGCTACGTGCACACACACACACACACACACACACACATGGAATGGGTTTACAATATCTGACAAAATGGTTCAACTTGATGAGACATGACAGCAATGCTTGCCACGCACACACACACACACACACACACACACACACACGGGATGGGTTTACAATATCTGACAAAATGGTTCAACTTGATGAGACATGACAGCAATGCTTGCCAAATATGATCATGCTCCTCAACAGCAAAGAGTCTTTAAACACTAAACTATACAGTTGATCCTTGAACAATGTGGGGTGGGGGGAGGTGTTAGGTGTGCCAACCACCCATGCAGTTGAAAATCCACATATAACTTTTTTTTTTTTTTTTTGTCCTTTTGAGACCGGCCGCACCGCGCTCAGCCAGTGAGCGCTGTGAGCGCACCGGTCATCCCTATATGGGATCCGAACCCGCGGCGGGAGCGCTGCAGCGCTTCCCAGCGCCGCACTCTCCCAAGTGCGCCACGGGCTCAGCCCCCCCACATATAACTTTTGATTTTCCAAAAATTTAAATGCTAATAGTCTACTGCTGACTGAAAGCCTTATCAATAAACAGTTGACTAAGACATATTTTGTATATGTATTATATGCTGTATTCTTACAATAAGGTAAGCTAGAGAAAAAGATGTTAAGAAAATCATAAGGAAGAGAAAATACATTTACAGTACTGTACAGTATTTACTGAAAAAAACCCACGTATAAGTGGACCTGTGCAGCTCAAACCCATGTTGTTCAAGAGTCAACTATATACACATATACACAAACAAGGTTTTTGTTTTTATGGTGGCACTAGGATTTATGAGGACATGCCTTAATACAGGCTCTGGGGCTTGCCTTTGGTACTCTTAATGTATAAAGCCCAGGCATTCTACCAATAGTTCTTAAGCAATGACATCAGGAAATTGACAGCCAGGTGGATGTTGTACACAACTTCATCATCTGTCATCTTCACATGGAAAATGGCAATGGCCAAACATAACAACTTCTTCATCTGGAACTTCATTGTGGATTTCACCTCATCTACTTTGGCCACCATGTTTTCATTGTGTATTAGCAGGAAAGAGAACTTGCCATCCTTATTTAGTCCTAGGCCCAAGATTCATGGGATCTGCTTGATCAGAGATTCTGAAGCCAAAAAGGCATCATACTTCTTGGCCAGTTTCTTATTTTTATTTTTTTTATTTTTTGGCAGCTGGCCAGTACAGGGGTCCAAACCTGTGACTTTGGGGTTATAAGGTTGTTCTCTAACCAACCACCCTGACCAGCTTCTTATTCTTGCTGAGTTTCTTCAGCGCCTCAATTTCCATGTGGGGGATATCCATAGCCTTGGCTTCGTCATAGTACTGCTGGTCCCCCAGGACACACACAGAGAACTTAGGGTAGGAAGTAGACTTAAGCCCAGAGTCCCCACATTCATCAACAGCTAGTCTGGCTTCTTAGACCAGCTGGCAGGCCTCCCCTCACCTCCCCTCATGTTTTAAGACCCAGGGTGAGGGTCTGTAGTGGATTGAATTATGTCCCCCCAAAACTCACTTAAGCTTGAATTGTGTCCCCCAAGTTTTATGTATTAGAAATTTAGCCCCCACTGTGACTGTTAAGAGGGTGGAAAATCCTATTATGGTAATTGAAAGGTGGAGCCTTGAAGAGGTGATTGGATTGTAGGACCACGCAGTAGTGAATGGATTAAAAATGGTGGTCAGGGGCGTGGTTCTGAAGGCTTTAAAAGAAGAGGAGAGTCTGTCTTTCTGTCTCTCTCTCTGCCTCCACCATCTTACTCTTAGGCAGATAGAAAACTAATTAACAAAAGGAAACAACCACAGACAAAGCCTTCTAGTGGCAGTTTTACTCAGCAATCAGCGTCATAGGAACTCAGTGAATGAGAACATCAATCCTCACTACGGCTGATTATTCTGGAAGCTGCTCACAATTAAAGAGGCTAAGGCCTAGGATCTGCTAACAAGAGAGCATGGCCCCCAGGAAAAGTTACAGGGATACAGTGGCTGTTTCTGAGCAGAATATTGATACTTACAGGGCAGGATGTTTTTATATCTATTTTTGTTTTTATTTTCTTGCCTCTGACCTTCTTTTCGGCTGTAGAGAAGTTTGCACTCCTGTTGTTGTAGTGTCTAGAAAGAAAGAAAAGTAAATATTAAGCATCAAAAGAAAAAAAAGAAAAAGAAAAAAAACGATGCCAGGCTCACATTTCTGCTTTAAGGAATTCATCCGAGGAAATGTTCAGAGTTGTGTACAATAGCTATAAGAATGCTCATCTTACCACGTCAACAGTGGCAAAAACACTGGGAACAACATGTCCATCAGGAAAGGGCTGCCTAAATAAAGCTATCATTCATTCATACGAAAGACTGCTCTGCAGCCATTTAAAAAGATGTTCTAGACGTGATATTATTGGAGTCCTTCTCTTTTTTTTTTTTAAACTCTTTTCTCTCCTAAATTTCTACAATGATTAAGTAGAATATTTTTAAGAAGAAAACCCTTTTAAAATGACAATGATTAAGAATGAAAGCCTGGGCTGGTCAGTAAGCTTAGCTGGTTACAGCATGGTGCTGGTAACACCAAGGTCAAGGATTCGATCCCCTTACCAGCCAGCCTCCAATAAAAAAAGAATGAAAGCCAGTGAATACTGGTGTAGAGTATACAAATAAATTATAGATTTGATCCATGTTCTTGCACTTCTGATCTGCCTACTTTTATTATTGATTAATTCAGAACCAGCCATATGTCAGTTCTTGAATTTAGACTTTGGAGGACAACAGGAGTGGTTTTGGTGCCACTGGATGGTGGGCATGCAAGCTTTGCTAGCAAAGCTTTGGAGTCCTCCTATGCCAAAAACCCAAGTTAGTGCCACAGGCAGCCAACCCTGCGCCTACACAAACACCCGCTCCTCTATGCTGTCCCCAGGAAAACCTGGCAAGGTTAAACGAATCCAAGGAGGACAGAGCCAGAAAGTGAGGATGGGATTGCTCAGGCACCTAAAGCAAGTCATCAAGAAGGACACCTCTGCAGGAAGAGGAGGTGGGGAACATGAACAGGGAAAGAAAAGAGACTAATCCAGGTTGACACCAACAGAAGGGGAGACTTCAGGAAGTAGAGAGAAGGACCAGCTGCAGAATCAGACAGGAAGGTGGACAAGCCCAGCCGAAGTATTGTCAACAGTCTGTTTCATTTTCAAAATTACACAAAGTGCCTCTTCAAAGGGCCATTAGTTTCCAACAAGCCTGGTTTTTAATGGGAAATCAAGAAAGGCTGGCTAAAAAGAATAGAAAAAAAATGTATATATATAAAATGCCAAAATGGCTACCCCTTAATGATTTCTACAAGGAGAGACAGAGTTAATATTTCACAACACAGCAGCCCTCTTTTATTTCCATTTCATTTATCTGAATTTCACAGACAGGTACAAAAGTCAGGATTTTAAATTGGTATTTGACTCTTGGTTTCAAAATGCAATATACAGTCTTGACACACAGCTCATAACAAAAGTGTTTAGCTAGCTGAAACCTGGACAGAAATAAAATACAATGTATATAGAACTCTGACAATGAAACAGTCACTCAAAACTTTTTAATCAGCTCAGATTAAGTAATTAAAGCCTTTTGCCTTCTCTAAGCTGGCATCTCGTTGAATTATGAGCCCATTTTACCAAGCAACATTGCTGTGTTAAGAAGCTTTAATCCCAATCTTTAGACAGGGCATTAAGGCGAGGTTCAAAAAAAACTGAATCAATCGCTTAAAAATCAACCAAGTGAGGTGAAACATCAACAAAAAACTACAACAGGGAAGGTGGAAATAATTAGCTGCCTGATTTAAAACGAGCTTGGCAGCAAAGCACTCTGGCCTTCGTTATGAACCAAACTTTATGCGACACTTCACTTGTGGAGAACACACGACTGGAGCAATCGCTATAAAAGGTGAATTTCCTCCAGTCCCTCCCTGTTTAATCACTCTTCAACTTTTCCCTCTGCCTTCAAGATCAAGTCCAAGCTTTTCAGAACAACACATGAGGCCTTCTCATCTCTGAGCTACTGGGGCCTGCCTCTAACCTCAGCCCCTTCTGCTTCACCAAGTTACTTAGCCTATCTTTGCCTCAGTTTCCTCAAGTGTAAAATGGGTAGGATCCTAATTACCTGCTCAACAGGGCAGGTGTGAGGGCTAAATGAGATACACGCACATTGCTAAACAGTGCCTAGAATACAACTACGCATGTAAGCAGATGCTGGCTATTGCTATTAAATTATTATTGTTACATGAACTCTACACTCTGGCCACTCCATATGTGGACCTGCAGCATCAGCATCACCTGGGAGCTGGTTAGAAACACAGGCTCAGGTCCTGCCCCAGATTTACTCAATCAAAATGTGCATTTTAAAAGATTCCCCAGTGATTCAAATCACCTTTAAGTTTGAGAAGCACTGTCTATATCCCAGCCATACTAAAATATACATAACAGTCTTGGACTCCGCAAATTACTCTGTACTCTTGTACATGCTAGGCCCTCTGCCTAGAATTTCCTTTCCCTGCCTTAAGCACTTATAAATAGTTCAGTTTTATTTATTCTTTAAGACCCACCTCAAGTCTTCCCTTCTCTGGGAAGCTTTCTCTGACCCACTCAGCAACGCGGAGTTTATCCTCCTTTCTGCCACGTAGTATTTGGCACACAATCTGCAGTACCTCCCTCCACACCGAATCCCAGCTGTGTCTTACAAATCTGGCTACTAGAAAGCAGGGACCACCTTGCTATGGCAGCAAGCACCTAGCACATAGTAGGCACTAGAATGTGTTTGCCAAATGAACAAATGAAGGTGGGGGGAGAGAGGGAGGAAGAAAGCTGGTGAGAAGGAGGGAGGAGACAGACAAGCCACACACCAGCAGCAGCACTAGTCTCAGCACAGCAGGTCCCACACTTAGAATCCCATTCTGACACTGTTAACCCAGACTCCAACATAAAGAAAAATTATTGCAGGCAAAATACCAGAGCAGCATTTCCCAGTCTTTAGTCATTTGAAAAGCACCTTCAAGATGCCTGGCCATCTCTGCACACCACCTACTGTGTCACTTGTTTTCTTAAATTGACCTCTTTTTCTCCTTCATAAAATATTTCAAAAGGAAACTTCAGATTACCTTCACAAATGAAAACCAGTATCACTTGCTATATATAGAAGGTAATCAGAAAAAAGAATATAACAAAATGAAATATTATCTAATTCTACCTAATACTGAAGCATGCCTGAGGCTTTGCAAAAAAGGGACACTGGCAAGTGCCAGTGGCAGATGTTAAAGACATATTAGTACCATACTGAGACTTTCTCCTAGGCCTCATCAAAAGGACTGTGTATGGATTAAAAAGAAAAAACCTTTCTCATTTGTTAATTCAATTTTAACTATTTCACAGACACCAAGAATCCTCTCACACACAAAGGAAACATTTAGCCAGATTAAATTCACAGTTCCAGGCCAGGAAAATCCTCATCAATACCCATGGCATTTTGGCTAGACCAACCATCAGGTCTGCCGGAGGCTTCCCTTATTCTACATTAAGTTCCCAGTTGCCTCTTCCAGGCAAACTTGGGGTTTGAACAGTCCACAGTCAAGGCTGGCTTCTGGGTCTGGAGACTTCCATAGAGGACAGGCCCAGGGCCCCTGCTTCCCAGGCACAGCTGGGTACTAACTGCCAGCGGCTGGCAGCTGTCACAGATTAATAATGGCTAACAGTGCGTCTCTGCCCCCCTCCTTTCCTTTTCCCATCTTCATCTGTGCCTGGGGCCCAAGTTGCCTAAACACATTTCATCTCCCACAGTGGAAGGCTGCCATCCATCTAAAATGAAACTAAAAATAAAGAGAAATCAGAAGTTGTAACTTTCCATGTTCTGCCCGCTGAGGCTCCCCAACTGCACCCAAGACCATCAGCTACCATCTGCTAAGGGGTGCGTCCTCCCCAGCATGAGGCTTATGGCTCCAAGAGTCAGAAGAATATCCATAAACCGTACCTTTGAGAAGGATACAATCCTGTCAGGGTTTATCTTCTACAACCTTCCTCTCACTAGCAGTCTCTGGGGCACAAAAAGCTGGTAATGATCTGTCAAGCTCAACATCCCTGTGTCTTCATCCCCACTCTCCTTGGGCCTTGGCACAGGCAGCAAAAAGGACAATGAAGAGCTGGAACACAGGCTGCAACATACCCCATTTTCCCAAATAATACAACAAAGAGTTTGCACCAAACTATGAACACTCAAAAAGGACAAGAGACTGATTGCATGATCCCAAGCAGATCTAAAGCCAAAGAGACTGCATCAAACTATTAAACCTTAAAAAGTATCACGAGAAAGTTAACACCCTGATCCATACTGTACATTCAGGAGTACCCAGCAGTACTTTCAACTGGGGAGGAGACACGTTTTCACTTGCAGAACCATCCCCTCACATGTATGACCATTGAACATCCCTGCTCCCCACCGCCAGGCCCCTCCCAACCTAAATTCCAGTAGCAGTAGCCCGTTACTGTGATGACCAAAACAGACCCCACAGGCTTCCAAAGTCCTCTGACTGAAAACCATTGTACCTGGCTCTTGACCAGAATTTCATGAATCAAAGTGGAGGAAAGGATTAAGGAGAGAAGCAGGCAGCAAATGAACTGGCAGAACCAGGTGTCCCCATGCACCATGATGATGCTCCAACAACCATGTCACCTGCACTGCTCTGAGGAACAGGGCCAAATCACTAGGGGGAAAAAAAACAATGCCACTGGCCATTAAGGCCAGACCAAGTTTACGGTTACTTTACCTTTTTTTTTTTTTCTTTTCTCATGACTGGCTAGTATGGGAATCTGAACCTGTGACCTTGGTGTTACAAGGCTACACTCTAATCATCCAAGCTAACTAGCCAACCCCAGTTACTCTACTTTTAAAAACAAAGGTACAGGATGGCGGTAGTGGCAATAAATAGATAGATATAGATAGATGATAGATAGATAGATGATAGATAGATAGATAGATAGATAGATAGATAGATAGATAGATAGATAAAAAACAAAGTTACAAGAGTGTGCAGAGGAGGGGAGGGAGAAAGAGGAAACAAGATTAACAAAATGTTGGTAAGTATTAAAGCTGGG